AGTATTATTGAATGTTGCGAAGTTTACCGACGTTTCAGAGGCGCCGGCTGCCTCAATTGCGGTGGTAATTAGCACCTATGAAGCTTGGGAACCGTCTGCTAGACTACGCCGTGCAACATCTCAGAAGACAGCCATCTTCAGTGTTAATTTTATCGATTGTTTCTTCTTTGTTTTGACTCTGTTTTGTCTTATGCGGTTTACAAACATTTTGCTGGTAAATACATAAAACGATGAACTATACTCGACATCCTTACCACCGTGAGAACCAAAAATCTCCCTATTAGTCCTGTTTTTGTGTGTCAGAGGAGGGAAGTTTGTACTACCGGCCCCTAACCATATCTGAAATGGCTTGTTCTTAATTAATTAAGTATATCTGACCGCTACATATTCTCTGATTGCTCGTAATGAATTTAATACTATTTATGAAATGTAATTATTTCTTGTTACGGTGCCTCATTTCGGTGGTTATGCAAATATGTTGTATTACGCACGAGGTGGAGGGGTGGGGAAAATCTGCTTTTAGCTACAGAGTGGCGTATGAAATGTTTACGCATTTGTTTTTGTAGTTAATAGTTAATAACGCCAGTGATGTCTGTGCCTAGTACTGACACAGATTTGACGAAGGCTCAGAGTTAAACATTTCGTCACTGTAGGAAACTGTATGCCCCACTAAACTATTTATAAATAAAGCGTTAACGATATAAGTTTATTGAGAAGTCTGTTTCAGTTTATTATTTGCGCCCTTCATGAGCTTTCTCTTTCTTTGTTTCTCGGAAGAGAAGATTATTTATGAGTGTAATTTAAGTATTTTGACTCTCATAGCAAGTGTTTCTTTGGGGGACCAAACTGTTGGTTTGGAAATCATTTCATTTAACTTTAATGCGGGTGTTATAATGCAGGAGGAAAGTAACTACGTCATTCGCTAGTGGTCGTGTTACACAGGACAGTGAAGCGTAAATTCGTAAGAAAATAGTCCCCCGACTGCCACAACATTTTAGTAATATTTGGAACATTAAACGTTGGTTGTTAAGCGGTTATGTAAGTGCAGTAATTCACAGCACAAAACCGTTTTGAATGTCTGACACGACATAACTGTCATCAGATATTTCGTGCACTAATTTCTTTCCGCCAGCCGTACTACCAAGCCACGCCTTCGTACACGATTCATTATCTGAATACAGTTATGCCGTGTCAGACATTCAAAATAGTTTTGTGCATTGGATGCTTGCATTTATGTCTACTTAACATAACAATCGGTGTATAATGGTTCTAAATGTCGCTAAATGTGTTACCAATTGAGGAACTATTTATTGTGGATGGAAACTGCATTCTCCTGTTTATCACGGCCACTGGGGAATGAGGTAGCCACTTTCCTCCTGCATTCTCGCATATACATTAAAGTAAAATGAAAAAAGTCTAGCTTATTCATTTATTATTTTACGTAATCCAAACAAATTAGGTGTTCTGGACTGCGTGTTAGTGAACTGTCTTTCTGTTAACATCCCAACAACCGCCCACCAAAACATAGATTGCATTGTTATTTAATAAGTCCAAAATCGGATTTGTTATTGAGAAAATAGTAGTGAAGGAGTTCACCACGTTTGTGGAATCCGAAATTTCATTCCTTGTTCCCAAGATTTCAGTATCCTGAATCAGATTAATCCCGTGAACTCCGTTTTACGTTATATTTCTCGAATGTCCATTTTAATATTATCCTCGCATCTATTTATAGATATTTTCAGTGGCGTCTTCCTTTCCGATTTTAGACTAAATTTTTCTTGCCTCCCCATCTTACACTTCTGCATCTCCTCGATTTGTTCACCTATTATTATTGTGGCAATAATTCTAGCAATAAGAAACAATGAAAATAAAATATACAAATTCATTGCGAATGTTAGGAAACAGAATATCGAGTTTCAGAAGGAAATGCTTGTTTAAAAGAAGCAAATTTCAATCAGCCTGTTAAGAACACTCGTTTGTCGTGTCAGACTCTTTAGAGTGTTAAGTGGAAATAATATTTGTAACAAAGAGCTGAAGGGGGATTAGGCAGTGCATGTCTGACAGCTCGGCAGTTGTGGGGGGGAGGGGTCACCCCTCCGTGAAAGATGGGCCCCGGGGGAGGTAGTGCGTCCAATACTTCTCCTGTCAACCTCGCTGATATCCTGAGGGTGTGTCGCTAAGGGGTGTCGTGCAGCCTTGCTAACCATGTCCTGTGCTGATGAAATCAATTCCGTAGCTACTCTCGTACCCAAAACCACAAATTCTTTCCACTGTCTCGGCCGAGTGTATAAAAGCACATTAACAGCCGACTTACGTTTTACAGAATAATATTGTTGTGTGGTAATGCGGTGTGACTGGAGAAAGTTACTAAATATATGAAAACTGCCCTTGAGTTGTTCAGTTATGGATTTAATATTCGCTGTCACAGATTTATCTAACCTTAGGCTTAATTTTCGGTCCGTGATGTTACTCACTTTTGTATGCTTTAATTTCTTAAATATATATTATTTAAATCTTGTCCGTATAATCACAATAAATTCTTATTAAATATTAAAATATTACAATAATTAACATTTAAAATATTTAAAATATTTAAAATACTAAATGATGTTCTTTATCGAAATATTCGATTTACATTAGACCATCATTTTTTCACGACATGTTTCAGTTCCTAAAAGAACTATCTTCAGGTGTATATTATTATATAAAGATTCAAATCAATAATAACTTAAATACAATTTCTTAAATACAATTTCTATATATTATTTTAGCGTACATTTTTATCAGATATCAAACAATGTTCTTTTTCAGATTTTATTCCATTTTAATAACATATTCGATGTTGTTCTGTATATGTACATTATGCTCAATATGACTTTAGTGTGGGTGAACGTTTTTTGTTGTTTTTGTATCAGCCAGAAATGAAAGTTGTAGAGGAGTTACATCTGTCTGGAAGTATTGCCGTGTTTAATTTCTAAAGTTTGTCTTCGAACTTTAGAAGTTGGACGTCAGAGTGCGTGCATGATCGGATTTAATTTTATCGATAACGTTAATGCGATTATGCTGAAAACAGATATCGAAAGAATTTCTACAGACTAACAAACAATTGTTAATGGCTCTCATGTTAGGTAATCATCAACCAATCAGTCTGAATAAATTATTTAAAATTTTAATATGAATTAAATGTAGAAGACAAGTCTTTCTGCGACGGAAGGTAGGTCAGTGTATTTTATTAATCTATACGTGATTTTATGGTAAAAGTAACTGTTGACGAAGTGAGAATTTCTGCCACAAACAGCGAAATTCTAGCGTATTTTTGACGGTTTATTATAGCAAAGTGAACAAGTACAAACAATTTCGCCAAAAGTGTTAATAACAGTTAACATCTTCTGACACCTCACGCCAGTTAGTCACTTTATGATGCTACAAAATGTGATAGGTCTAATAATTTTCATGATGGCAATAAAGAACCCCGTGATCTGTTTAGACCATTTTTTGCTGAAGTTTTACTGAACTCCGTTGATTTCAGGCCTGTATAAAACATGAAGTTGCATTCATGACGTTTTAGTGACGTTATTCCGTTAACCTCATAGAATCTAATTCCTCCCGAATTTCCCTCACATCTGGCTTCCTTTATATCGAAATTCGATATCGATATAGAGATACTTTAATGGCCTTCTGAAACCTTATTAAACTTCTAGCACTGTCAGTTTTCTGACGCCTGTCCATCGACTCTGACGTACTGTCCTGTATAAAAATAATAAATTGGTTTTCCTCCTCGGGAATTCTTAAAATAAACCACACGGAAATAAAATTATTTATTTATCACATCAGTCTTACGAATGGAAATTTCTATTGACCAATGTTCAGTTATTTAGGGACGTGATGCCGCGTGGTGACAAGTATTTGAACTAAATAATTGCCAAGCAACGAACGTAGTTGTACTGTAACAAGTTATGAAATGTTAGCATAGCTTAACAATTCTGACTATTTCCTGTTTTGGCGTAAATATGTCTATATTTTAGGGTCAGTGTCATTCGGCAAAAATGTAACGAAAAAGTGTTACGAAAAAGGGAAACGAAAATTTGTAACTTCATTGTTATGTTACCTAGGAAACATCATCTGTTTATCAACAAATAAACAACAATGGTTACCTACATAGTTACCTTACCTTACCTTACATTAAAATACATTACTTTACATTACATTCAGCTACCACAGACGCATTTTAAGCGTAAGTAATTCAAGTTAAATAAGCAAAGTCTTAATCAAACTTATCTCAATTGTAAAGCATGTATAAAGGAAATATTTAGAATAAAGCCAATATATAAACTTCCTTTCCGTATAGACGTATTTACGTCAAATTCTCCGGAACCATGGTTCCACTGACAACTCTCTTTTACTAATTGAATGTTTTTCAGTTCGAGAATGCTAACTTTTGATGCTGTCTCGCAAATAGAAGGCGAACGAGCAGGCAGTCACAACAATTAACGGTCCACCTCTTACACAACATACGTAGCATGACTAAAATCATGCGAAATGTAATAGTAAACGAATGTAAGTCTTAATGTTTCCGTCATTTTTTTTTAATAATTTGAATATTAAATAGATTTTAATAAACTTTATCGTTATCTTTAAAACACGTTCACCAGTTCTGATACTTTAAAGTGTTGAATAGCTCAGTTTTACAAATTTAGTTACAAACGTTAACAAACCCTGTCATTATGGGATTTGTGCATTGCCGTCATGTATCAGATGTGAGCTAACAATAATAGTGATCTTGGCTGAAGTGAACATTCATAACGGGGAGAAATGGTTCGTATTTTGACGTAAATACGTCTATACTGAAGGGTCATTCGGCAAAAAAGTGTAACGAAAAAGTGTAAGATCCGTATCAACAAATCGACAACAATGGTTAGCTTGCGTGCATTGTTATGTTGCCTAGGAAACGTCATCTGTTTACTCGCCATTGTTGTGTTATATTACTGTGTGACAAGATGGATGACTTTGAAGATAACATTATATTTAATTACATTACATTACTTTACATTACGTTTGATTACATTACATTACATTACCTTACCTTACATTTCATTACATTACATTACTTTACAGAGACGTAAATATAAATTAAATAGAGAGACGTATTTACGTCAAATTCTCCGGAACCGTGGTTCCACTGTCAATTTTTCTTGGTGAATTGCTTTTACCGTCCTCCGACACGCAGAAGCAATTGTTTGTCGACTTCGCAGGTGCTATTTTGGGCCCCGGCTGTCTTAATATTTAAAGAGCTTCTATGCATGTCAACATTGTAACTGTTTCGATAAATCGATACTGTATTCTCATTAACTGAAGGCTGGCTTGTCTTCACCACAGTCTAATGGCGACATCAGGACTGGACACAGTTAAATGAGTAATGTTGTTTGTGAATGAGAATAATTAGTTATAATCTAAATTAGCAAACAACATTAGTGAAATGAAAAAGAGGCATCAATTAAAGTCTTTTTTCCAACTGTCTCACCCAGTGTTTCAAGCGAGTGCAAAATTGGGTAAGACCAAATTTTTATTTTTTTGAACGAATGTTTTGGAACGCTCACTGCAATATTTTAAAACTGATGATTTATTGAATGCAGTGAATCTAAATTCAACTATAAGAAATCAGTAATTGGAGTCTTTTATGTTCAATATTGGATTAAAATTTTCTGTAACAAATTCAATACTTATGTTTCAGGTCGCTTGCTGCAGTGCATTTCATAATTTTGTGTTTTCAAGTCTTCTGCGCAAAAATGTGCGCGGTTGGAATATATAAAAAGAAACTTGCAGAGTGCCTGCAGTGTTACTTCGGTAAAATTTGACAAATGTTTACAATTTGATCGAGTTATTGCGAGCAGAGTTATCATAATCCTAATAATCCGATACTTATCGCTGAATATCGCACAAAAAATTAATGTCCCTGAACCCAAGGTCATTTGTCTTTTTTGTATCATCTCCACAAAAATGTTTGTCACGATTTCACTTATTCCTTCTGCCTTTATCCTCAGGTTTGTTGCACTCAAAATTTGTTGAAATGTGAAATTTATTATAAAGTTACAGATTCTGGAAAGAAAGTAGCGAAAATAAAGAAAGTAAGTAAATATTCATGCTTAGCTTTTGCTTATGCAGTTAATAGAATCTCAGTACAGAGAAGAATATGTGCGAATAAGAATTTTTATTTAAAATGATGATGTTCATATAAGAAAACATTAACATTGATTATTCTTAAAAATACATAAATTTCTGTTGCAATATCCCATCCCCTTCTACGGAGAGGCATGAGGTATGTTCTTATGGTAATAATTCAATATAACCGCTTTATAAACAAAGAATGTTTTAGTATTTGACATTCTCATGGCTATTAGTACGAATATGGCTGTCTTCTGGCAGTTTACCGACGTTTCAGAGGTTTTTGCTGGCCCCTTCATCAGGACCTCTGAAACGTCGGTAAAAACCTACCAGAACATACGGCGCAAGTGTGTAGAAGCACCGGTCGTGGCCTGATTTAAGACACTAGGCCTACTATCCAGTAAATTTCCTGGTGGAACTGAAGAGGATCATGAATAAAAAGACAGGATAGCCGGTTTGTGGTTGAGATTTTTGAACCCGTGACCTCCCGAATGCGAAGTAATCGACCACAAATTTCTGTATTAATTACGATGGTTATTAAATGGTGATTTGTTGATCATTAATTTATGGCTATGTGCATGGTTTTGATAATGAAAATGAATATGATGGTCGTCAGGACTTGCCACAGGGTCTAAGCCACACGTCCATGGTTTTTTGGGCCCCACCCCAGGGATTTCACACTCGGGACTTGTCCCTAGGGCTTCCTCCCCCACAGATTGTTCCATCTGGGTAACCAGAACGTATTAATACGGTCTCACGTTATTCTCTAATTTGGGCAGTGAACTGAGGGTGAATATAAGAACTCGAGAAGCATGCGACTAGCTGGAGTCAGTCCAATTCAGGCCACTTACGCTGAAATTACGTACATTAGTGTGGTGTGTGTGAAATGTTTCAGAGATGAGTGTCCTGTATTGATGCTACAGTTCATAATCACGCGTCCAGGCCGACACCAAACCGAATGGAAAAACGGGGCTGCTCCTTTTCAAGGGGTGTACATTCCAGGGTTGAAAATGTTGGAGCATAGTCACGTGGTACGCCATGACAGTGGTGTTCTACAAATTTTGTTTGTAAGTCACTAATGCGCGTGTTTTGCTTTGGAGCAGTGTGACCTTTGTGACACGTTACAAAGAGACGTGAGTCAGCTAGAAATCGAATTTCAATTTACACCTGACACAACTACATTTCTTGTAAACAAAAACATGTCAGAGATAAAATAAATATGATCATTTGGTTCGGTACATTTATTACTTTCGGACTGGACGTCACATCTGATACTTTCTTATTCATGATCCGTTCATCAGCGCGTTGTATTTTGTGTACTATAACGTTTTAATGTCTTGAATAAAGTTAGTGTAATTAAAGAAAGGAAACTTCTAATTATCCTCACGAGAGCTTGTGACGTTAAGGTTAAGTTAGGTTAATTGTCGCCGTGGTGTCGTACGGTGAGCGATTTGTTTTTGCATTGGCCGTATCCAAGCAACGGAACAGAGGTGGACAAACATTGCTGTAAGCAAAACCTCTGCTGTATACTTGCAATTACAAGACTACACTAACAGACATGACTAGATAAGTATTTAGTGTCAAATATTAACGGAGTTTTAATTTATTCTCTCCATCCTCACTGTGCTTACGAGGTGCGACCGGAAAGTATTAATACTGCGCCTATAAAAACCCGTACACTTATTTCAGGTATTAAATTCATCCATCCCCCTCGAAGTAGTTCCCCGGGGAGTGAACACAACGATCCCAGCGCCGCTGCCAAGCCTGGAAGCATCCCTGGAAATCTTTCTTGGTCAGCCTGTCAAGCACCACCTGCGATTCTGCCTGAATCTCTTCTATCGTCTCAAATCTCCTTCCTGCGTCGCATGTGGAGTTCTTCCTTTAGAATCAGTTGACAGGTCCCATAGCCTATCCCAACAATGGCGCACAAGTCGTTGATGGTACGACGTTGATCTTCGTGAATGGCCTGCCGAATCTTCGTAACATTTTCGGGCGTTGTGCTCGAAGATGGTCGTCCAGAACGCTCGTCATCATCGACAGAGGTTCGGCCATTTTTAAAACGTGAATGCCACACAAAAGTTTGCGGACTCCCCAAATGCTTGCTTGCTTTAGCATTTTATAGGTTTCCGTAGCCGTTTTGGCTAGTCTTTGGCAAAATTTGATGCACACGCCATTCCGAAATCACAGGAGGGTCGGTGTAATGCACTACCAAATCGCCCGTAACTAAGAAACAAATGCTAATTCGATGATGCCGGCTGGCACACTGATTCACTATGAACGTAGGCCGCACCCCCTAAAGGCAGAAGCTGGTACTACATCCGGTTCGCCCTCTATTAACACAGTCTTGAAACTTTCCGATCGCACCGGATATGAACAAGCATTTGCTCGGGACACGTATCTGTGTTGATTCAACGTTTTAAAACGTGTAATGGAGTCGGAAATACTGTCAAGTTACAATATTCAAGCCAAGTTTTGAGTTGTAATTCTCCAAGAAGTAATTCTTTAAAGTGTCGTTGAAAGTAGAACGCTATTGTACGAGGTAACAGACAGACAGACATCGTCTCCAAACGCATTCTACTTTATTGTAGTATGTAAAGAATTATTCATAATTCTTATATCTTTATTTGTCTTGGTAAACGTGGGGGGAAATCGTTGAACCGGAAGATGCGAAATTTGGTTGTCAGGCACCGCGGTAAGTGTTTTAGTGACGTGCGTGCGTGCGTGCTGACATTCTATAACCACAGCCCACGCATCATATCCTGAATTAAGTCAATTGGAATTCGAGTGAGCGATCGAAAGATCGATCTTCGAGCTAATCGTAGTCTCAGGGCATAAAACATTTAGAAAACCTGACCTTTGGACTTGCGAGAGTCCCCTTTTCAGTTCCACTTGACTGTTATCGAGACTTTGGTTATTCAACAATGATGTATCGTCTACAGCATTTAATCTGCGTACTTTAGTAGGTCACAGGTTTAGGGCAGTGTGGTGATAAGACGTGACGTAATTAATATAAATAAAATGTTTACGGTTTTCTATTTCAGAGGATAATAAAATTCTGGATCGGGTCTTCCAGAATCTTCTTGTTCCCTTTGAGGTCTGGCTGCGACATTGTCCATTTCATATCTCTGCACGCATCGAGTTAGTTCGAAAATTCCCAGGACAAGTAACATGTCTGGTACAGTGTCTGCCTCCTCTGAGCTGTTTTCGTCCACAGGAAGGAATAAGAGCAGTTGAGGATTAAGCCCATGTTACCACATGCGTATCTCACCGTACTAATATTCCATGTATACAGGAAGCCCCAGTATTAAAACCTCCAGGTATTGCACCTCCTTCCAGTCCTTGGTCCACCACTTGAAGAATGACCTAGTAGGGGTTACGAGGACCCCTCACGAGGTATTTTACAAATAAAAGTTAACTCTGTCTTGTATCGTTAATGCGTTTATTTAGATATTTCTTTTCATCTGACTTTGCAACATTTTCTCTTCTGTCTAGTTTATTTCAAGTTCCAGTTCTAGTCGTTGTTGAATCTTGTGCCGTTTTCTTAACAGAGAGAACAAGGCGCCAAGAAAATTATTTTGGCTGAATATACGCGAATTAGTTAGTTAACGGAGAATATAAGTTTGTCCATATGGGTCGCATGTGTTGTTTGTTGGTGCCTACTAAATGAAGGAAAATGTAGACCATAAGGGGGAAAGGAGAGTTGCGTATAAAATGTTGATGCGGAAATGTCATGCAGAGAAGCCATTTAGATTACAATTAAGTAGTAATTCAAACATAACAGTGATATGAAAATAGGACGATAATGGGACGAATTAGTTTAGTGGTAAATTTGGTATTAGAATTCTTAAGCCTTGAGATAGCCTGAGAGTAATTTTGCTCTAAAAGAGACATTTCCAAACTTGATCTTTGGTCAGTTAGTATAGTAAAGTAAAGCTGTTTCTCTACACGCCATGTAGGCGCTTTGGGGGAGAGGAGTTATAGCTCCTACTCGTTCTTGACCCCGGGAAAGGACCCCGGTACCCACTGGATAGGAGGCTGGGTGGTCCCCAGAGCAGGTCTGGACGCAGAGGCTACATGAAAAATCCTTCAACCCCTCGGGGATCTAAATAGAATAACATGAACCACGTAAATTAATATACGTAGATATAGTTTGGTTTCAGTCTTAATCTAGTGAAATATTTCATCAAAGCTTTCAAAGCTAATGCTCCGAAGGAATTACATGATTAATTCATTAAATTGATTTAAAGTGGTTTTCGACGTACACTGCTGTTTTTAATTACCCGTAATGTACGTTCATTTAACACTACTATTGACCGCAGGTGTCTCCACAATTGCACATTATATTTACATAATAATTATATACAAATATAGGAAAATTTAATACCTAAATGTGTCATGTAATTTATTACATGGCTACATACCATTATAAATATTATATTTACAACATAGCATGCAAACATTGTGACGAGTATTAATCGTGTCAGCTTTGGGTTTCGTGAACACGTACAGGAGTTCTGCATACGAGGTGCGATCGGAAAATTTCCGGACTGCGCCTATTTAAAAAAAAAAACCCGTACACTTATCTCAGGTATTAAATTCATCCATCACCCTCGAAGTAGTTCCCCTGGGAGTGAACACAACGATCCCAGCGCCGCTGCCAAGCCTGGAAGCATCCCTGGAAATCTTTCTTTGTCAGCCTGTCAAGCACCATCTGCGATTCTGCCTGAATCTCTTCTATCGTCTAAAATCTCCTTCTCTTTAGCTGAATTTTCATCTTTGGGAAGAGGAAACCTTAGAAAGGAAGTTGGGGTCGGTTCTTGCAAGATCTTTGAGCTCCTGACAAACGAAAAGTCGATTCTGCTTCTGGTCCTCAGACAGGAGCCTTGGCACAAACTTGGCTGCGATGCGTCGCATGTGGAGTTCTTCCTTTAGAATCAGCTGACAGGCCCCATAGCCTATCCCAACAATGTCGCACAAGTCGTACAAGTGATGGTACGACGTCGATCTTCGTAACATTTTCGGGCGTTGTGCTCGAAGATGGTCGTCCAGAACGCTCGTCATCATCGACAGAGGTTCGGCCATTTTTAAAACGTGAATGCCACACAAAAGTTGGTGCACGACCCATTGCGGACTCCCCAAATGCTTGCTTTAGCATTTCATAGGTTTCCGTAGCCGTTTTGGCGAGTCTTTGGCAAAATTTGATGCACACGCCATTCCGAAATCGCAGGAGGGTCGGTGTAATGCACTACCAAAACGCCCGTAACTAAGAAACAAATGCTAATTCGATGATGCCGGCTGGCACACTGATTCACTATGAATGTAGGCCGCACCCCCTAGCGGCAGAAGCTGGTACTACATCCGGTTCGCCCTCTATTGACACAGTCTTGAAACCTTCCGATCGCACCTCGTATCTGAAACTCTGAAGAATGAAGCGGTAAGTAACTCCGAAACGTTGGCGTCAAACGATGAATCTACACTGCGTGAAACCCCGAAAAAATTCATGATTCTTACACCCGTGATAACATGAAACATTTTAATCCGAAAGGGTTTCGTTTCGGTCATAAGTTAGCTCAACGGAACATTTAAGAATTTTAACAACACTAAACACTTTGTTTAGGTTGAAGTTAGTGACGTGGAAAAAATATTACAAATGTTGTAACTGAACTGAACTGAACTGAACTGTTTGCCTGTTGTTGAGGTGCGCCTACCATCTTGCCGCCGAGTCGCCGTCTCAAGTTTGACTGTGATGGTTGCAACAAACTTCCGACAGGGACGGGTGTACAAGGCACTTGAATTTCATTAGTGCAAAGTTTGCAATATTAAGAATTCAAAGAGGACGCGAGGCTAAGTCCTTCTGATCGACATGCAGACTGAATAAGGTCCTTATAACCTGAGCAGTCGTGTTCACGAAACTTTTACTGGTCATTGAGTCTTATTATGTATTTGTTTTTTTTTTTAAATTTGTTTTATTTTTATTTATGTCATCAGTTTCGGACAAAACGAAAGTCAGAACGAAGTTAATAGTGTTTATATAAATTTGTAATATATTCCACCGAATTTCAACCTGGAGGCTGGATATTATAACTGAATTTCTTCGTGGAACTACTCAGTCGCTCCAGAAAGGTGTCGGGAGAGTATCTTAAATTTCGCCACTATCGCTTCGTTTCATTTATTAACAATTCTATCATTTGACTTGGTGTAGTGTGAGGTGCTGACAACATTCTTAAATAAGAAAATA